TTTTAATTTCTTTACAATATATTTCCCATAAAGCATCATAAACGTAAAGGTGAAAGCTAAGTACAAAAAAAAAAAAAAAAAAAAAAGAGACCGCTGAAAGTTTTCGTTAAAAATAACGGGGTAAATAATTTGTTCACGTAAATGTAAATGATTTCACTTTTCTCCTTCCGTAGAACAAATTAGCCTCATGGAATTCGTAAATATATCATTCATCACATGTCAAGAGACGCGAAAGTTTATGACCTGCTTTGTTTTATTTTCAAATTACATCTTTTGGCACAAAAAGCTAAGTTAAGTTTGGTTCAAAATATTTTAAATAAACATTATAATTTCTGATTTTCTTAAAATAAGTTTTGAAAAAATGATAATTGATATTTAAAAAAAATTTCAAAGTCAGATTTCAGTTTTTTTAAAATGGGAAAAAAATGGTCAATTTTGCTGACTCAAAAAAAACTAGATTTTTTAACGAAAATTTCGGACGTGCTAAGAACGATTAAAAATGGAAAAAAATACCCCCAAAATACTTTGACCTTTCCTCTTAATAATAACAAACATTTAGACGATAAAATTTTGTTTTCGTCAAGTTTGGCGTCTTTTTCATCATGCTATGCTCTTTTTTTTTAGCGATCTCGTGGAGGTACCTACGTTAAACCTACTGGATAAAAATGTTTCATTAGACATCCGTGCTTTGTGTTAAACGTTAAAATTAATATCTACCGGCCTAGAGATCGAAAGTCTTTTTACAAGAAATGCTTAAGAATTAAATTTACTATTTTATTTACATATAAATTATACTTATCTATACATTTACACTATCTCACTAGCATCTCTCTTTCTCTCTCTCCCTCGGTATATATATATATATATATATATATATATATATATATATATATATACAAATTAAGAATTAAATTTAGCTCTGAAGATTGCGCGAATGAATGAAAATGACAGTCGTGGCCGGTTACATTCATAATTTAGTAATGCTCTGCCATTTTATATGGTGTGGAGAAATTTTCTGATTGGTGTGCATCTACGGAAGAATCATTTGAAGATTGATTCTTTCTATTATATATATATATATATATATATATATATATATATGGTTGAGTACTTTTCAGTTACTCTTCTGTAGTTCTACACAAACATTCAGGGAATTTGAGGCGGGAAATGACTTCCAGAATAAAGGAAAAAACCTGGTTGAAAAGATTCTTTATGTGTTGGTGTACTAAATTCGAGAAATCTTAGCAATGTCCTGAGAGACACGGGAAACGTTGGATAACGGCAGGCTAAAAACTTAATCCACCTCCTCCCATATATATATATATATATATATATATATATATATATATATAATGTTTGTGAGTGCGTATAGACAATTACACACCTCAACACAGACATAGAATTTTCTTTCAGTTCGCTTAGACACGCATAGATATACGGGCCATCACGCTATCACTCAAGTACCCACCCACCGCCTGAAAAGCCTTCTTCCATACCGGGTGTCGAGGGTCCCGGGTGTCGTGGGTCCAGTTTTATCATCCATAAAATGTCTGCTTCAGTGACACCCGTTTTTATTTTTATTTTTATTTCTCCTGTGAATAATCATTAGGTCAATTGGGTACAAGTTTAATGCAGCTTCAACTTTGTCCTGAGCTACTTAAATTCCCAAGTACATAAAACTATATATATATATATATATATATATATATATATATATATATATACAAACATGCACACACACAAATATATATATATATATATATATATATATATATATATATGTATGTATGTGAGAGAGAGAGTAGGAGAAAAAAGTGAGACTTAAAAAGATATTTGAGGGCATTTTACTTTGGTCATAGTTTTATTTGAATTCAAGCGATCGAAAAATAAATAATTAAATATATAATGATTCTTCAGTTAAAAGATATTTCTTTCCTTGTATTTGATAAAACTGTCTTTATGACAAAATTAGCCGGCTCGTTCTTAGATAGTGATTTTCTAAGCTCGGCTTAGATGTGGCACAAGGTCGAAAGTATGGGGTACCCAGTGAGGATCGAACTCACTACTCAGTCGTAATTGATCTAGGAAAACAAGCTTTCTAACCATTACACCACGTCGAGGTGCCCCTTAGTCATGTATATATGGAGTAAATGTTAGCCTAATCCAACCAGTAGATAGCAAGGCTTAAAAGATGAAGATTAAACCACTTATATCCTTAATAAATTTCATCTTAACTTATAGGATTAGATATGTTCGTCTATCATCCGGTTCCCACTTCTCCCCTGTCTTTCGAACAGCTTTCCGGTTGCTTCAAATCTCAACTTCTGATATCTCCGCCTGAACTCTGAAATTTTATTCGGTAATCTATTTCCTTCTCCAAAAGGCGCAGATAGGTTTTCTTATTGCTCAGTTCACACTTCTCCCTAGTCTTTTGAAATAGGAGTAGAGGTTCTTCCATTATTCCCTGTTTAGGATTGGGTTTCTGCTTCCTTCTAAAATTTACTCAAACACTATGTTTCTAACGACTTAGCCTGAACTCTGAAATTTTATTTACTAATTAAATCTTGACCTTTTCAAGTCTTGAATGAGCTGTTAATATTTCCTCTTATCTTATCCTTTCTTACGCTAATGCAACACCAAACAGTAACCTTCTAGTTTGAGTGGCCCTTGGGCCTTGTATTGGGGGAACATTAATAATAAAAAAAACAAAAGAAAAAAAGGAAAAAAAAAGGAAAGAAAACAATAAGAAACTGTTCAGAGAACTAGAAAAGGCTATTATAAAAATAGACATAATATGTCTATATTATTCAATGAAAGATGTTTGAATAAAGATATTGTTGAAACTTGGATAAGCATGGAATAATAATAATACAACACAAAATGTACGTAAACAAAATGTATTGAAACAAGGAAAAGGTACACAATATTTACAGTTAGTTTTGGTATATTCTTGGGAAGACTGTTCCTGCAGAATGGGTTGACTAAATCGCAGTCGGGCAGAGTCTCTCGATTCGATCTTCTTCTAACTACTATCTTACCTCTTTCGTCTTCCGGTACCAACCCATATTTATATGGTCGGTACTCCACTTATGTAAATTAGGTGTATCGTACACAACAGATATACTGCCTAAATACACACACACACACACATATATATATATATATATATATATATACAACTTTTAAAGATCTTATTTATGTATTATATATGCGCGTTACTTAATTGGAAAGCACTCAATATCAGCGATAGAGCTAACATATTAATCATTTTGTCTGACGATCGCAAAGGGCATGAAACCCAGGGTCACAAACTCAAATCAAAGCAATAATATATATATATATATATATATATATATATATATATATATATATATATATATATAAGATCGGTGAAAATGCGTTTTTTTCAGTGAAAAACATTGATTTAGAAATTCTTCCAATTCTGTAGTTACAAGCACGAGTTGCCCCCAAAACAGGTTATCTTCTACAAATACTATGATTGACTCTTTGTGTCACTATTTATCTCTTTATATATATGCACACACAGAAACACACACACACACACACACACACACAAAAACACACACACATATATATATATATATATATATATAAATATATAAATCTAAATGTGAACATAGAAGTCAACACTTATAGCATGAAACAGACTGTCGCCTCTAAGTATTGACTTCAATGTTCACTTTTATATTTACACACGCTCTATCTCTGATATTGAGCACTTTATCCCATAAATATAGCACATCTTAAGACTATATTTCTTCATATATAAATATGTCTATATATATTTGTGCTTCAACTTAGTCAATAAATATAAAATATAAAATAAATATCATTAATGTTATTGCCAGTATTTTTATCATTTTGTTGGCTTTTTATTCCTAAAAAATTATTAATCGCCTATTAAATCCACACACATGCACGCGCATTTATATATATATATATATATATATATATATATATATATATATATACTAGCAGTAGAGCCTGGCGTTGCCCGGGGATGTAACCGTAAGAGATAGATCAAGTATCGACCATCATGAAGACTGAAAAATAAAATTGACAAAGATTATTGTTTAAGGTTGACGGACACGCATGTCTTAATTAGTTTTTTTTTTTTTTTTTTTACGAATTGGTCAAACCCAAACTCAAACAAAAACATTGTTTTTAATCGTTATGAGTCTATCGATTGAATAGAATTTTATTATAAACAATTGTCTTGTAAATGGAATTTTTAAAGCATTCTGAATGTAAAAATAAAGAAAAAAGTTTGCAAGACAATAAGAAACACTACCTGCCAAAAAAAAGTGAAATTTTGTTGAAATCGGTTGAAAAATGTAGGAAATCCGATCCCATATATAAACGAACACACACGCAAACAACCTGGGTTTTATAATAAGTATAACTTGATATGAGTTGTCCCCCTTTCATTCTGCGAAAGCGATGCCTCTTAATCGTGTTTTCAAATTGATTTCATGCAAAAACAATTATGTTTTTCCAATTTTTGACACTGTCAGAACCACAGCAAGGTAATTTTATGCAGTCCTATGAAGTTTTGTTGAAATCGGTTGGAAAATGTAGGAAATCCGATCCAATATATAAACGTACAGACACACACATAATCTGCGTTTTATAATAAGTAAGATATATATACATATATATATATTATATACGCGCAAGCACACACTGAGAAAAAGCTTGTACCAATGATAAGTTCATTTAAAAAAGAAAACTCGAGAAGTATAATCTGTTAATTCCTGATACCACTGACGAGTAGTCGGACGTTTCTGTCTACGAAACTCTACAGTCGAGAAGCTGAAGGTAACTTTATTTAGCTAAGTAACCTTTTAATTATATTAATTCTCTCTCTCTCTCTCTCTCTCTGTCTATCTATCTATCTATCTATCTATCTATCTATCTATCTATCTATCTATCTATCTATGTGTGTGGACCTCCAAAGAAAGGTGATACCTACGGTTTAAGTTTTACACATGAAAAATCTTTCTCGAAGCTTTTATTTTTATTTTAATTTTAAGCTAATAATGGATTAAATTTAACATTTCGAATATGCAAAGTACTTTGCTGCATTTACAAAATAAATTCAAATCCACTGGAAGGAGTTTCTTCTGTTTTTAAATCGCTGAACGTCGCTGACTTTGGCGCCATTTATGCTGTAACGGATAACGTCTCGGAGAGCCGAGTTCAAATTCCAACCCCGTTTGTCATATACACTAATGCAAATACCCTTGGGAATTATTGTATGGTTAAATTGTAAGATGTGTATTAGTAAATAATTACTACCTCCTAAACATTCTTACAATCTAAAAATATTTTCTGGTTTTTAATATCAAAAAAAAAAAAAAAAAAAAAAAACACCAAAAAAACAATCCAAACTAGTGTAGACATATAAAAGCGTATAATACAACGTACTTTGTGACGTATTTTATATTCGGGTGGGGTTACCTGCTGAGTATTCGATCGACATCAAAATGGCAGCGACTACGAGGATTAAAAGATTAAATTTATACTCGACTGTGTAAGGATTCACCCCGAGGGCAACCTGTTATAAATCGCCAAAAATCTTATATAGAGAAGACAATATTTATTGATTTATACGGAGGGACGGTGGAGTAATGCATAGTGGCTCGGATTGAACAATCAGAGAGCTGAGTTCAAATTCCAGCCGAATCCATTACATTCACTTACGTGCAATATCTTGGGAAAGGTATGAATCCTCTTCTTTTTCCCCAACAGCTATGAGTAAATAGCGGGACAGGCCGGGTTCTATAGTCTTGGATGGCAACTGGTCTACCGCAGAAAACAATGACAACCTAATGCGGGGGAAAAAAACTACTACGTCAGTCATATATCGAAAGATATATGATTGCCTAAGCGTATGTCACGCATGGCACATTACTGACTGATACATAGATTCAATGTCATAATATTCCATTACCTGTTTCCATATTTCAGGCAGCTTTATTATCCCATCCGCGCAGTATTTTGCATCTTTCATGTGATGAAGCTTGGCTTCCTGATATATGAAATGCCTCACATTGAGTGAATTTTGTAATGGTCGAAATAAATCGTAGTCCGAAGGTAGATGGCCAGCTAAGTATCAATTTCTATCGGGTCTGCAAAGAACACGGGAGATATGGCTTTGTTCGGGTGAAAAAAACGACATTATCTCAGGTGTTTTTAATCGAATTGTGCCTGTAATCGGTCCAACCGTGAAAAGTACGCATCTTAGTTCGGCTTCATATTTTGCAGAAGAAGATTGATGCCTTTCCAGTCCCACCAGCTGCTCAGTATGATCTTCTTCGTATGAAAGCCAGCTTCTGAAGTTTTTTTTTTTTTTCATTTTTCCCAAGTCCATTTTTGTCCACATTGTAAGGTTCGCCTATAATCCGGTTCACACTCCGACCCGGTCATTAGAACAGGAATAAAAAGTTATCTCCCTTGTTTCCTGTTTAGGATTGGGTTTCCAGTTACTTGTATACTTGTAATGTTTCCGTTATACATTTTATTTATTATTTTAAATCTATGCCTACTTACTATAGACGGCAGATAAGTTGAGAAGGCTTGCTTTATATATATATATATATATATATATATATATATATATATATATATATATATATTTTGTTGGATAGATGTGAGTTTGTGACCCTGGGTTTCACGCTTTAGCGATCGTCAGACAAACTGATTAATGTTTTTGTAATATATAAATAATTATACATATATATATTTATTTATATTTATATACACTTTTCACACACACATATATATATATATATATATATAGTTTATGCAAAACTAGGTAATCCGTATGGGTAGACCCAAGGAGGATGATATCCGGAGAGCCCAAACCTTAAAGTGGTCTGTTCATTATTCATATATATATATATATATATATATATATATATATATATATATATATATATAATAGACTGGTTGCGCTGTCTTCTTGTTACATGTCATATAAAATGGGATGAGAGGTTCAAGAATAGTTCAATATTGAAAAAATGTGCCAACATCACAGGCATTGAAACCATTCTAGCAAAGATAAAACTTAGGTGGGCTGGTCATGTTGTGAGAATGGATGAACATAGGCTTCCAGAGAAGGTCTTGTATAGACAACTACCAAATTCCAAGCGTTCAGTTAGACGCCCACTCTTACGCTACAAAAACAACTCGAAACTTGAAACTTTGATCTGAAAACCTGGGGAGCCCAAGCACCAAACCAAAAGGAGTGGCGTAAGCCATGATTAAGTTAAAGGTTTTTGAAGACAGTAGACAGAAGCACCGTGAACCGCTTCGTCTAGTTCTGAAGCAGAGACGCCATAAAAACCCTGCTTTAACAAATTCTATCTGTCAATGTGGCTTTGTGGTCCGCAGCAAGGCTGGGCTCGTATCGCACTTAAGAAAGCACAAATGAAATATGTCTTTCCCTTACCTGATTTTCTCCGCAATAGCACTGCTAGCATGCGTAAGTGTAAAACGAAAGCGCCATCCAATGCTGATCCTCATTTATCGTTAACAATAGGAGAATCCATATATATATATATATACATATATATATATATATGAAATGGACAAAGTCCGATAATTATTTTTAAGACATTTTTTATGGTTATACGTTCTTTTTATAGATACAAATATTAAAGTAAATGATCTATTTATAATAAACAGTGTTAACAATATTTACCGACCTGCATGTTTATTATAAACATAGCATTTACTTAAATATTTGTATCTATAAAAAGTATAAATATAAAATCGTATCGTATAAATATAAAAAAAATGTCTAAAAAATAATTGTCGTGGTCAATCGGTAAAAGCATGTCAGACTACATGATGGTTCCGTATAGGATACAGGTTCGATTCCTGTCGGAGGACGCATATTTTCTATGTCAATTTTTCGGACATTCAGGCCGGTAAATGTCGTTAATACTGTTTATTATAACAGAGCATTTACATAAATATTTGTATCTATAAAAAAAACGTATAAACATAAAAACAAATATCTTCAAAATAATTGTCAGACTTTGTCCATTTCATAATGTTTGACGGCATTTGTTTACATTTGGATACGCATCGAGCAGATATGAATGTACAAGAGAAAATCATGGAGAATTGTAATTTAAAAACAGTAAAATCGACATTGCTAACCGAAACGCTCCTTTGTGGCTCAATCGGTAAAAGCACGTCAGGCTATATGACGGTTCCGTAGAGGATACAGGTTCGATTCCTGTCGAACGACGCATATTTTCTATGAAAATTTCTCGGACATTCACACACACACACATATATATATATATATATATTTACATGAATCATTCACACAAAAACAAATATAGAGGTTAATGATTTAAATGGCGAGAATACATCTTCGCAAACAATTTCAAATCATTAACCTCTATATTTGTTTTTTGTATGAATGATTCATGTAATTGTAAATTGAACTGCATCTATAATCGAAATTAAAATAACTGATCCAACGTGCAACTTTCGGATAATAAGTGTGACATTACTGTAATTATTGAACAATATAGTTCATGCCACATTGACGGAAAACCTATCAGTACAAAAGAATTTACTTATTACTATATTTGTACAAAAACGCACAACCTTAAAATTTTAAATTCAAACTCAGCGTTGCGACCGCACGTTTTCAAAACAATAACACATTTCTCATAGCATTTTTTTCGGATTACATCTCTATTTTCGTTGTCCTCTTATTACCGAGAAGTAAAAAAACAAGAACAAAATCTATTTCCATACCTGAGGATGTCTGTAGGAACAGACGAAAGCTTGTAAAAATTAAAAAAGACCTTATGCAACTGGAATTTATAAACAAGGATCATATCATTCATATACAGGTTCGGGGTTGATGTATCTTATTTATATTGTTTGCGAAGATGTATTCTCGCCATTTAAATCATTAACCTCTATATTTGTTTTTTGTTTAAATGATTCATGTAATTATAAATTGAACTGCACCTATAATCGATATATATATATATATATATATATATATATATATATATATATATATATATATATATATATATATATATATACTCGTGTGTGTTTGCAGGCGAGACAAAGATAGAGGACTGTTTAAAGACAATTCATATTAACGAGAATCGTCCTACCTAGGCAATAGTGTCTTACTGGAATATCACTTACTGATCCCGACATTTCTTCTATATTTCCTCCTTTAGAACCCTCAACAACTGCATTGTCTCGTTCTCTTTAATATCAGCCACGGTGTGAAATTTTATTTTTTTTTAAACATGAATGTTGGACTATAAAGGTGACTGATCAAATTGTGGTATAAATTTGCCAAAAGCGCTAACTGAACAATGAGTAGTCGATTCAGTCATGGGAATCTCTAGATCATCGACTTTTCACACTGTCAAACATTGATAACTTTTGGCTTTTGTCCAGAAAATACATATTTGGGGATTCTGTTTGCTGAAGGTCTTCCAAATGATTTTCTGACTTGGACAGGGCTATCCCTTTGTTGATCTTTCCTGAACCAGTTATATCTATTCTTGTCTATTTGCTATTATTGTTGCTGATTGAGAAAGCAGAACGCCAACAAAGCGACGCTGGGGTACAAATATATGAAGCCCAATATTCCGATCATGGTACCATTTTAATAATAGCATATCAGCCACATGCATCACAGCCAAATGTGTGCGATATGGTAACAGGTTTTAATAAAAACAGCGTCTAACTGTGCATTTGAACCCCAGTTAGAAAAAACTTCAGGTCGGATAATCCAAACTGCTCTGATGCTCTCCAATTGAGGGTATTTCTAAATATCGAAAATTGACAGTCACACTGGTTGTCTCATCCTTCAAATATATATATATATATATATATATATATATATATATATATATATATATATATAGGATTGGTGTATACGGAATAAATTCCAATAACCAAAAATACTATTCTTAAAAGAGTG